GAAAACGAATTCTTTTTCCTCTGCTTATTCTTTTCATAGATATACTTCCACGATAGAATTTATTTTCTTGAAAAGTATTGTAAAACCTCTCTGCCGAAGATGTCAGCATTTGTTGTAAAGCTTTGTGTCCATGCGGTCATCGCATGCCCACTCTTCTTATCGATCGCCGACGTCCCGCTCTCGAATATTCTCGGCAACAGTTTTTTATAGCAGTTTTTCAGATTTTTATGATATTCAAGGGCGTCACTAAAAGCATTATACGAGTTATCCTACAAAACATCGCACAGACCGTGACCTCAGGTACGATACATATTCGAATGCACCGATATATCCATGTTTTTGTTTACAAAGTTTGTTGAAGCTACTCACTGTTTCCTTTTTTCTCTTTTTTTTTCTCTTATCTAACCTACTGTCGATCGCGATTTATGCTCTGAAATACTTTGGGCGTTTTGTGGGTAAAGATCTTTGGGTTGTCACAAAGAGAAATCAGAGGTTAGATAGGTATCGAATGGTTGACCGGTCCCAGCGTCCCTATCGCACTGCCACGAATTCCAATCGATACGTATCCAGTCCTTGTTAAGCTGACTATAAACGTTTTCTGATTCTGCCACCTTTTGCCCTTCCTCGCTGATAAGGGCCAAACGACACGGAAGTACACTTATTTCTAGGAGCTACACTGCAGCGATAACCTTTGGATACGTTTATTTGGGTCGCAGTTTACTTTTCCTTTCTTGGCTTGCGTGAAACCATGTGATCCGCTGTCTAGCGACACATGGATTCCCATGTGAGTGAACATAGTCCTCGAAGGTGCAGGTGCACCCTTGTAGTGAAGTTATGAAAACTGTCGGGTGAGAAATTATTTGCGGTGCACGATCATGTTCGGGAAGTATTTGTTCAACAGCCATAGATTACTCGATAGACTGTCCAATACACAACGTACTGGTGCCCACTTACGTAAAATGTCAATAAATGATCAAAATGTACCTGGCCTGTGTCCTTTGCGTTATCCTTGTTATCACTAAGTTCGGCCTCGTTCACGGTGCTCGAACATGCGTGTCATGCTTGACATCAAACCCTCACTTTTTTTTTCCCAGGGCTGTACTTTTTACTGTGTACACTTCCTTGATGAGAGATAGCTGGCTATAGAGTTCTTCCTTCCACTCCAGTTTGAAAGCCCATGACTGTGAATGCCTTAAAGATCTGGACTTCCGTTTTCCGCACTCGTGGTTCTAACTACATATTCACGCGAAGTATAAACTTACAATCACAATCTTTCACTTTCTTTACGTACAGTTCTACCCAAAGAAAGCGCAGGGAGAAGGCGTTCTTATAATATTGATCACCGTTTGGTCCATGGTTTGGTCACCGGAACATATAACTGTCAGAAAAAAACGAATTCTCATATTGGATCAGTTTTTCCAGTGATTATGTTTCTAGTGATTTCCTGTGAAATACAATATGATGTCGGTTTAGGTCAGTATGCGGCACCAGTCGCGAAAGGAGTAGGTCTACGACCAGCTCAAAATCGAGGAGCGTTGCTCAAGGTAATAAGTATTTTGTTATTTGCTGCGATCTTTTTATGCTTTTTTGTCTACAAAAATCGAAGTGCTCATACGCAACTAGTAAGTAGCAGGACTAGTACTAAGTTTACAAAGTCCTTATAAGTATTTGTATTGTAAGCTTCCGACTAAGAATTTCTGGAAAGCGAGGGACATTGGTGGCAGCGGCGCGATTGCGTTGCGACAATCGCGGCATTCGGGTGTTTCCCGTGTCCTTATTTTCATAATCTTATGAACAATCAATGTAGAAATCAGAAAGAAATTCTAATCCTTCTGTTTGAATTCTTTTCATAATGCCATCAAAGTTCTCCCCTTTTCCTTACTTCCCCTTCGACATGATTTACGTCCACGACGCGGTTGAACTATTACCCTTATCCAATTTTTTTAGACATCTTATTTTATTGCTTTGACTGTTCTTCTTGAACTTTTTATTTTACGGCCTTGAATGTTTTCTTTCACTTTTTCTAGGTCATTAATCACGGCTTACGAGCGTTTCCCACTCGATTTCGGTATCACTAAAACTGACTGCCATAATTCTTCCCCGTTTTTTACGGTGTATTTTCTTCCTCTGAATGATCTCTCTATACTTTCCTTTCTTAGTCGCTGTTCATTCCCTAATGTTTCCATTATTTGTATTTCTGTGTTGATTGATAGTTCCATTTATTTCTGCTTTATTTTATGTGCACCCCTCTTCTCTTTCTCTGTCTACAGCACGGGTTCCTCCCATTGTCATCTTGTCAATTCATTAACCAAACCTTCATTTCGAGGTAGTTTTATTTCAAACCAGGTAGGGAGAAATGTGAGAAATCCAATGAAGTGCAAGGTTTGGTTACTGCTGCAATTGGAAAGCTTCTTTGACTGTAAAACACCGAATACGGTTCCAGTTCCACTCTCTTTAGGAATCTCTTCCTGCTCAGGGGCAACAGTAAAACTTTGAAATAATTATTTAGGCGTTGAACTATCAATATTAGTAATGGCTTTATGCACCCAAAAGAGACTGANGATGGAATGCGGAACTTGCAAGGGCGAACACCGATTCTTCTTAGGGGGATGTTGAGTACATGGCTTAATCCAGCAGATTTTGTGAATCTGGCCGTTAAATCATCTTACCTCCATATTTTGTCTCTAAGAGATGGGCTACGCTACGTTATTTTTGGACATCTTTTGTTTTCAAAGGTTGCAAGCACTTTTGAAGTACTTTTTCCCGAAAACAGGTCTCATACCCATCCGTCTACAAAATTTGATGGATTTGTATGAGAACCTTATCAACCATCAAAGAACTTGAGAAAACCATCGCCATCCGATGGTCAATCATCAGAAATCAGTAATCACGGGAGAAGTTTGCCGTCCTTTATCAACTTCGCACGAAGTTTTACGGCACTACAATAGATCTGGAAACTAATATACTAGGAACAGTTAACAATAGGTAATAATTGCAGTTATTCGTCGTCACTGTTTCGTCGCTGTACCTTGGAGGTTTTCTTGCTCACAAAGGTGCTTCATATTTGGAGGAGAATGAGATCTTTGTACCGGCTGAAGACGACGACGACGATGACTGAGTCCAGTGTCGACTTGCCGTTAAATTACGCGTTGGCAGTAATTACGAGTCAGTTTACTCGGTAAACGAAAATTGTAGACAATAATCGGTGTCGCTAATGATTTCCGTATGTATAATGAACGGGTAGATGCTAAGTCGAAAAAATATTCGCATAAATTGTTTGAATTGTTGCCTTGCTATGTCATAAATTGCTTATTAGATCTTTGAATCTCAATTCATCCAAATATTTTATGATCATAATAATAAAATGGTTTTTTTATTCGAAGGATTTACTTATATATCTGTTTTGGTATTATTCAGAAGGGAAGGACCGAGAGCTATGGAGCTGAAGGTCTATCGAATTTACTCTCTAACTTTAACGGATCAACTAGTACATGTGAACAGTCATTATGCCTGTCTTTGCTTTCACTTTGCAACAATGTTCTATTTAGTTTGGGAAGCGGGTGTAGGTCAGCACATGCCATTAACTAGGCTCATAGAAACTAGGTCAGTTAAGTGTGCTGGTTCCTTGACGTATAAAAAATGAAGGGTCTTGACACGATTAACCGAACGAGTTTCGATGTATTAAACTCAGAGGCGCACATCGACTTATGGCCATACTTCAGAAGCGTCGTCGCATAGCGGTTGGGCAGAGAAGCAGGGGCATCGCTGCGATAAATTCGCTTCCTCATTGTAGCAGCTAGAATCTAATAAATTAAACTATAGCGAATAGAGTTTTAAATGGTTGATTCTATGCCATAAAATGGGTAAATTAGGTGTTTCATAAAATGCACTCCGTTTTCCTGGATACGACGAGAGAGATGAGTGATCATTACTTCCTCCCCTCTCCTTTCTTTCCTGCGACTTATATGCTCTATCTTTGCGTGGAAACCCATTAACCATGCAAATATTCCGTCTTTTACGACCGAGCGGTCATAGGCAGTTAGCCAAGGTCTCATCATTTCTCCTTTTCTCTCGGTACACTCACGTGACGATTGATAAGACTGGCAGAATGCCCGAGACCGAGCTCCACGGACAATTCCTGACATGTCTCAACATTGATCTTCAAACTCTGACTAGGATGTTATCCTCCTGTGACAGCGACTATTTGCAGTACGTCAGCATCATTTCAGGCCGACGCCAAGAAGTCAACAAACACTATTAACCCGCAATTACCTGCAAACTCAATTGCCGCAGATAATTGAACTGTCGTAGTAGATGATTCCGCCAAGGTCGACTGTGACATATCGTCCGTCTTTGTTGTACAGTGATGACATGCTCTGACTCCAACTTCTCTGTCTCGATGACAATCGAGTAGGAGACGTTTTATGAACAAAAATTGCAAGAAATGAAAATGAAATGAGATTATTGAAGAAGTTCAAAAATATCTTGACAGTAAGCACTACTATTAAGTGATTTTAGGCAAGTCCGAACCGTTTTGAAAGATCTTGATTCTTCTCTGCAGAAATCTGTACGGCTATTCTGAGAGAATCACACGCATGTTCCAAAACTTCTTCGGTGCACTCAATAGAAAGGGCGAAAACCTGCAAAATCCGCAGAAAACACACTGCAGACGGCCTCGTTCTCTCAAATAGCCCTGTGCAATGTACGATTTGCAAAGCGTTAGAGTTAGCGAATNCGCTCTCGCGCCTGGTAGGAGTTACCCGCCAAATGTGGGATGTGATAGAGCGCAGACGACAAGAGAAATAACAGAATAAGGGATTCTGGGAAATCTGATACCCATTTTCGAAAGTGATGCAGCTTTTAGAGAAGTCATAAGCCAAGCTGTCTTTGTTTCTAAATATACGAATGTTCGCTTAGGTCTCTCCTTTTTGGTTTTAGAACTACGACCTTTACGTTCCTTCGGAATTTGTGGAATGCTCCTTGAATCATGTGGTTGCGTTCTACACAGAACTGTGTTTATGACTTTTACGCTTCCACTAAGTCACATGGAATTCAACGAAAATGAGTCATGTTTTACCGAATTGTGACAGTTGCACTTATTTGAAATAGGAAACGTCCTGCCTAGTGCAAGGATGGAAATAAAAATAACAGGGCTCAATCAAGTGAGTTGTTCTTAAAGCACATGTAACGATGAAATGATGCCTGATTAACGGGGACCAGAAGAAATTGTTGATGAGTATTAATGTATCTATGGCAAACAAAACCACAAAGAAAACAACATACACAAAAAGAGGGTCCACCCCTTCAGCGATTCCGAGAGGAACGGTCGCTATACCCCTAGTTATGCAGCACCTGGCTAGTTGCCTTGGATCAGCTACTACATTGTAGGAACACTTGTCTCTACACTGAACTACACAGTTTGCGCTACTGCCTACCCTACCAAACATCATTTTGGTCAGAGTTCTAATAAAGCTTTCAAGCTTTGAATCTCCATTACCATCTCTGAACACTTTTACTCAGCGACAACGTCACATACCGTCTCTTCAAGGGCCATCGATACACAGAAACTGTTGAGGGATTATCGAAAAGAAAAGCCCGCTTCAAAAGGCGCCAGGATCAGCACCTAATCACACAACAGCCTTTTCACTAGCCCACTACAGCCATTTTCATCTGAGATGATGAAAAAATTACTGATTAGCTATCGGTCAACATTTGATTCATGATATCATCTCCCACAAATGACAGAAGAACAGCAGCACTACTAAGGAAGAATTTATATCACCATTTTTGAAAAGAATGGATGAAGACTGATTGCATTATGGATTATGGAGAAAAAAGGGAAGAGGTGTGCATGATACTCTCTTTTCTCCGCGTTTAGTGACATTAGAGGCGCAAGTCACAGTGAAGTGCTCCCCTCGGATAAGGTGACTTTTCCCCGAAAATCGCGTCTGCTCGCCGCACCCGATCGCTCACTCTCGCGCGCCTTTAAAGGGAACGTTTAAATTTTCAGAGGAACGGGATTCTCCTCTATTCAAAATTGGCATCTACCTTCTGCTCTATCGTCATTTCGTAAGTAATCGTCTGATTTTATCCCGTCGATTGAAGGAGATCGAAGGTTTTCAGTGGTAGACACATTGCATCCTATTTATACAGTTTCCAGTTGAGTGGATTCTTACTTCCAAGTAATGTTTGATGTGCAGTTACTTGGAACATTTCGAAAAACTCCTGGGATTTCGTGCCCTTCAAGAGCACTTGTGGGTAGTCATGAAGTACAAGTGGAGCTGACCAGTTCTTTGAGTGCACAGAAAGGGTTCACATCACGTGTGTCATGGAAAGACAAGATTGCGGTTGAAGTATAAGCAGAACTGCGACAGGCGTTTCGGTGAAAAGAATCTCTGACTCAATGCCCAATAGCATTCACAGACAGAGTCTAAGTTTACTTGTATAACAACTGTCATGGGGAACCTTTGCTTGTCGGTTACACACCATCCGGGCTAGCATTTCAACCACAATAACTCAATACAATGAAAACGTCTTCAGATCATTGCTCACTTAGAAAGTATGACGTGCAGACTGGCTGTCATGTGTCAACAAAAAGCTGTTTCTGGGACGAAGCGAAACTGGTATTTGCAAGTCAAGAATAGAAACAAAGTCCCATTCGGATTCTGTACTTCTTTGTCCCTTGCTGAAACCATAAAAGTAAGTTGGTCTTTGAAGTGGAGGGCGGTCACAGTCGTTACTGTAGAGGGCAATGGGGCCATGCGGTAGACAAGTGCTGGAAATTGGCGTGAGAACAAGAAATGTTTAGTGCTGTTAAACTGTTAGATACTCTTGTTAGATACTGTTAATTTCCAAGGGAGGCGACGCACGTTTGTGTTACCAGGTAGGAGAAAACTCGAAGATGAGGCAGAGAAGGCAGTTAGCGTGGAAGCGGAGCTCTTACATGAGGATGTGGGAGCCATCCATATCTTCAACTGGGGAGCACACGCCCGGAAGCAGCTCCTCAACACAGAAGAACGTTGATCATCTTTTTTTCCTCTCGCCCACAGCAGGTCTCATCTACGTCTTTGATCCTCTCGCAACTCGCCCAACTTTGAAGCCTATGACAAAATCCAGAGCTGTGCCCTTCGCACAGATTCGCAATTTGAAAAGAATGGCCGTATATCACTACCGGATACTGAAAGTTACTTTTCCTGATCAGAAACTATCTGAAACCATTACCATTACCATTTTTACCAGCTACCATTTGCATTTTTTTACCAGCTATTATTTGCATTTTTACTAGCTACCATTTGCCTCTCTTCGTTTTTATAGTTAATATTTTCGTGAGGTATATCGAGGAAATATAGGTCATCCTTCAGGTTGTTGTATGGCAGTGTAGATGAGAAGGGATCATTACCTCAGTGATTTTATTCCGATAGGTAAATCCAAGGATGTGAAGATCTCATAGCGCAAACCTCAATAGAGCTATTGAACTTGAGAACTGTTCAAAAAACTGAGCTGAATCACAAGGTTTGTTCGCGTTATTCGTGTCAATGTTATCTTATCGAGAAAAATAAACAGTGGCATGAGACGTTTCCCAAGGAATGCCACAAGCAGGACGACGTGCTGTAGATTACATATTTGAAGAAAGCGATCCAAACTCAAGAAAGCAACCATAGAAATATCAAAAACTTCTAAGCGAAACTAATCGGTTCACATTCATGGACTAAAGATTGAGACAGGAGCCAGACAAGTTGAGGACAACTGGAAAACTTTGTTCAAAGTCGAGCTGGAAATTGACCCTGTCATGAAAAGGAAGATGCACAGACATGTCGAGTTCCTCAGAAAAGTTGAACACACTCAACTCTGTTCGAAGGGGTATAGTTGAACTGGAAACTGAAGTATCCCCGATGAGGGATTCATTTCTTATAAAGTAAAGGTCCGGCAATTCAGACACAAAACTCGATCCTGGTTGCAGTAGTGCAGACCGACACCTCTACCCACTATGCCACCTCTTCAGAAAATACATATTTATCTGCTTTTGACTTATGTTTGTTTTTCTGCACTGGAAACCGAAATCTATAGTCTAAACAGTACCATGCGATATTATGCACATGGTTCAGTCATATACTTGTATTATAGTCAGAAAACTGTTCTATCCAACTGCCTCTCTACTGTCAAAAGTCTTTGAGATCAACCAGATCAATCATTCCTAAGATTGATTACGATGCTTCTTTCTGATCAAGGATTTTGGATAAAAATAGTCTCGCCATCTTAGCGTAGAGTAGCCTGCTTCACTAAATCGAAGTAGAAAATTCATGTTTGAAAGAGCGACAGCTCTCACAAGCATCTGAAAACTACAAGACGAAAAGTTTGATGGCAAACAAATAAAGTAACCCAGTAACACGTTCTTTTGACCACAGATAAACGAGGGTTCATGACTAGTTTTCATGTAAGACGGGAAGTCGCCATCAGTGGGCCTCCATGTGGTTTACCTGTAGCTCTACAACGAGAAATCACTTACAGTTCTGTTGACGACTCAGGGCCACTCGAGAGGGCAAAAAATGATTTTTTGATCGAACTCCTCTTCTGCGACAGGTCATTCGGCATCGATCGTCTGTGTGGGTGCCTGTCGATGTTCCCGGCGGGCCACAAACGTGCATTTGTCGCTCCTCTTTAACACAGGTGATCTTCGCACTTTCCTGCCATCCCACTCCATCAAAAGCTAGTGCAAACTTAATGAAAAACGTGTTTTCTCGCTGTCATTCTTTACTGCTGGTCAGCCAGATCATTTTTAAAAAAACTTGTTGTCATTTGGAATTTTGAAGAAAACTTTTCTGACCACAAACCTTCCTTGTTTTCGGGAAGTTCGCTATAGCTTCCACCCTAGCTTTTGGCCATTGTCAATAAAATCTGTTGGTAGTTAGTAGTTCATGAGTTTATAGTGGGTAGTAGTTTCAGTTGAGCAATTTTTCAAAAAATTTCCTCTCCTCGTCTATCCATGAATTTTAATTGAGTGTTGTTGTCCTTTTATTCTCCCCAATTGTAATTGAAATATTTTAATTTATTTACCATATTTTCTTCCATAGATAGAAGGAGCATAGCGCTAAGATTGTTTATCTATTTTCGATCGGGTGAACAGCAGCAGCGTCGCATCGTTACACTGGCTGCTATGTCGGTCACAAGTGGCCTAAGCAAGGAAAAACTCGGATGATTTCAATTCCAATTTCACGTAATCTACAACTGGACACGTCCAGAGTTTTTCTATACGCTTCCCATCAATCTACCATATGCCCGAGTCAATGCCTTTCTGATAATGTTGCTCTGTCACTTACAAAATCCATCGATGTTCACCACCAGCCCATATTTCATCTTCTCGACTTTCGATGTTTCTAGTCCGTTGAAAGCTTTCTACTCAAACCTTATCTTTTTTGTTTTTCAAACACACTTGTACGAGGATAGTGCTAGCTGTCGACATCCTCTTTCTCTTCCCAGAACAATGGCAGAGAAATCCCGGGGAGGGGGCCTCTGGTGAAGCCGACAGGCCTTAACTGCGTTTTCACTAGTAGAAACCGTGACATAAACTTACGACAAAATTCTCTGAATCCAGCTTCAAGTTTTGGATTTTGCCCTCCACATCTCTGGTCATGGCATAGGCAAAAAGGGAACGAAGCCTTATCAATAGATGCCATTTCTATTTAGCTGAGTCGGCAGAAGTTTGAATGAAGCATTTGCTTTGCGGCGAAAGTACACGTCGGTATTTGTGTTGAATAACGGCTTATACCGTTCTTTTCGAAGCTATGCAAAGGTAGCTGTGTAATGTGATCGACGAAGAATGTTTCCTTAAACCACTTCGGAGTGCGCCATGCATTCGGTCTTCATTCAGAATTGAGAGTTGTAATCAGTACACGTGACAAATTGCGAAGAATAGTGGGTATTTGCTCCAGCATCTCTGTACATTTTATATAAGTCTAATCCTAATCCCCGTAATCTCCTTTTGTACAGTGGCGTCGGATGGTTTATTTGCAACTAGTAATGGTGCAACTAGTGTCGAGTGTATAAATAAATAAATAGTCTGATACAAACCTTATAAACTCTCTCAGATGAGCTGAGTGACATGAGTAGGACAGGATCTGTGAAGTGCAATGTGAGGACTGTGACAGCTGAGCCTTTCCGCCCTTTGCTTAGACATCTTCAAAAGAGATATTACACAAAAAAGAAATGAAGTATGAAGTACATGTAGAAGTTATCAGTTTACCTAGGAACGCCGTTGTGGTTATTTGTTACTCTATTTGTAGATAGTTTCATAGGCCGTAACCGTATTGAGTAATGAAGATAAGGATTGATTCCTGTCTATGGAAGCTAAACTTTTTCAAAAAGGTTCACTATCTTTGTTAAACTTGTAAAATCTTCCCTTCCTCGGCATTTTTTATTCAGCATAAACAGATGTGTAGAATAAATAGACATCCAGAACGGCTTTCATTCTGAATGAAAATCAACTATGAGTGGCATTTCACGGGTTTTTACATACGTCTACAGAATGAATTGTACTTTTGGTAACCAACTAATTCAATTTACTACTTAGTAAAGAGGTAACATTAGAGATTTCTTCTTCTCCTTTTTCGTGTTCCGCACATACTTCGATGAAACTCAAAACCGGCAATGTTCCAACGACTACTAGTGGTGATTCAAATGATTAAAATTCCGCTGGCATCGATTTCCGAAGCACACAGCGTTCCGCCCACCGATGCCTTTCGTTTTATTAATTTATTGCTATTTTTACCTCCATTATCTGATTTTTCCATGAGTTTTCACTGTTTCGACCCCTTCTTTTTACGTGAAGTATTTATTGAATTATTAATAAGGGTAAATTTGTAACAATCTAAAATTATTTCCATCACCATTCTCTACTGAAGGTGTAGGTGAGCGGCTACGAAATTGAATCTAAGCCGCCAACCATTAAGGGGCAAACAAATCGTCCCTGAATGGATGACCGCTCGGATTCGTTCCGGAGCGTCCGGCCCTCATGGCCAGTATGATCGGCGCTCTTAACATGTTCATAGTAGTCGCTTACGCAACTGCATAATTTTTCCTTACTACGATTTTGATGTTTATAAAGGTTGTTTCATAAAGTTGGAAGATGAGTGCCAATCAGTATGGTATCGAAACCGATGCCATGACCTTGCAAAGGTTCGTGCTACACGAACAACGGAAACATCCTAGTGCTTCTGGAGACCTTACGAACCTTCTCACATCGTTGTCGACTGCTTTTAAGGTGAGTATTTGGAATGTCAACTTGTGACTGTTTCTTCATATAGGGCAGAAGGGGTGAACAACAGAAATTTCGTCAAAATGATTGTCTTCTCGAGAACTCGAGACCAAGATTAGTTTGCCAAAATAATGTTATACGCTTCTAAAGGAAAGGGGTGGAAGTGGCGCAGTGGCAAGTGACGCGCTATCACCCACGCATGGTCACGGGTCGGAATCCCGGCTTGATATCTGCCTGAGTCAACCAAGCCTTCCATCCCTCCGGGGCCGGATAATTGGTGCCAGACTCGCCTGGGAGGATAAAGGTACTGACTTGTACATAGGCTGTCCACCAACAAGTCATTGTACAGGCCACAATCGCATTCAATACACCCTTACGATTCTGAATGGAAATCGAATAATGGGGTATGAGTGATACCCATTATTCGATTGATTCGGGCANGATTGATTAACGTCCAAACGCTTTATTCTTCATACTTTAGCGTACTTTTCTAAAAAGGCTAGCATCGTCTTCGCTTCCCTTAAGGTCCGACTTCCCACATGCTGCAGAATATTTGGTACTTGAATGAGACTGCATGATTTGACCCTGTTCAAAGCCCTACATGGCCATCGAGCGAATGCAAATATCTGCCGTTTTTTATTCTAGGACGACGCATAATGAGGAATTTCCCGTCGTCTCACGAAAAGTGGAAAACTCGTAACTTGTACCCCGACCGGGTCAGGACTGAAAACCTCGTGCTTTCCTTATTCTAAGGCTCTCGCTTAGAAAACGCATTTTGGAATAATCATTGGTCTAAGGCGATCACTGAGCAGATATTTGAAGGAGTCAAGCGAACAGCTGACTGCCGTCTGCCCTATGGTCGGGTCTTTTAGAGGAAACTTCGGAGAAGAGCTGAAAAGCCCTTCGAGCCTTGCAGGTGGAATGCAACGTAACTATAAACTAGATAATCAATAAGTAACAAAATGAGAACAGTAATGTAGTATTTGTTTAAAGAGACGTCTGTTTACCGTTTTCAGGCCATTTCAAGTTCAGTACGAAAAGCTGGCTTGGCGCATCTTTATGGTATCGCTGGTAACACCAACGTCCAAGGAGAAGAGGTCTCGTATCCTTAAACTTCATGAAGTAATTCCAGTCTTGAAGCCATCTGAGAGTAGTGACGATCCTGTTTAAGGTGAAAAAGCTGGATGTCCTCAGTAACGAGTTGATGATAAATATGATCAACTCATCCTACACATGTTGCGCCATGGTATCTGAAGAGAATGATAATGTAAGTCATTCTTTCCCCTAAAAGGTCTTGAGTGGTGATAATGCTCGTTTGGTAATCCTGAACTGTTTCCAGTTGATTGAAGTAGAAGCGTCCAAGCAAGGGAAATACGTTGTCACATTCGATCCACTAGATGGCTCATCCAACATTGACTGCTTGGTATCCATAGGTAATTTACTTGTACATCCCACTTCCTACACAGTACTGCTTAACGCTTTACTTATCAGGAACAATCTTTGGTATTTGGAAAAAACACAAAGATGGACCGGTCACACGTGAGGATCTGTTACAGTCAGGAAGGTAATCTGTTTCCTGTTCTACAGTTACAATACAGTAAACTTTTAAGGGTAACTTGATTCTCAGAGCACATCAGAAATCACTTTTACTTCACTGTAATCGTAGTAATTCAATATCCTCACTTCAGAAATATGGTCGCCGCTGGTTACTGTCTCTACGGTTCCGCCACGATGGTCGTGCTTTGTACTGGACGTCATGTGAACGGATTCATGCTCGACCCGGTATGCCTCAGAATTACTAACTAGTAGGATTACTACAAAACAATCAACGTGTTTCAGAGCATCGGAGAGTTCATCCTGACGCACCCGAAAATGAAAATTCCAGAAAAAGGAAAGATTTACAGTGTAAATGAAGGTTACGAACGATTCTGGTCGAAAGGACTCAGGGAATACATCCATAGCAGAAAGCATCCAGAGGTACGCCGAAAAAATTAAGGCAACTACGACTTACTTTATTCATTTTAGATGATTTTCATACCACATATCTTTCATAAAACTTGATTTTTGCCCTCTACAAGAATGACTATAGGTGTTAAAATGTTAGACAAGTTCTACAACTCTTTTTCATCATCGACTATTACACCACTATGTGGCGACGTTTGTTAAAAACCTTATCGCTTGCTGAGGTTCTCTGACTTACGATGATTCTCGAAACGCTGCAACACTGAAGTAGGCCTCTGAAGATTCGCTTTGTGCTCCCAGACCTCATGAAACATTGGTATGAAATAAATCTCATGACTGAGTTAAACACCTCCTCTTTAGTTGATTCCTGTAGTTCCTTGAAGATGTAAGCCCCTCCCACATGTAAGATCAGCCCGCCTCCCGATCAATCGATGAATTGCAATGTTTCATAAAACGCGTTACGCCTATACGCTATCGAAAGGAATCTTCTCAAAATTTTAGTGCTAAATTTTGCGTTGAAGTAATCACTGCAGTTTTTGAAATGAATTAGGGCATTTTCCAGAAGACCCCCTATCACTCAACAAGGAGGTTCCCTAATATGTTGTAGAAGAGACTATAGTGAGTTTACCGAGGGAATAAACGTGAAATGATCAAAGTCCACTTGTTTTGCCGCGAAAAAAACTTTGTCAAACACTTTCTAGTTCAATCAGGTCCCACAGTAAAGTCAATACTACTTCAATGTTTGCAGTAACTCGCGCCTTGCTTCAAACTTTTTTTGACAAAATGTGTCATGTCATGAACAAGCTAAATGTATTTCTTATTAAGAAAGTACCATGAGAGAATCCTTGCGAACGTCGTGGTAATTCTTCTCTCCAGTCAGTAATTTTAGCCAGGAAAGAAAGGAATGGTTGCACGTTATGTCGGATCCATGGTGGCAGATGTTCATCGTACATTACTTTATGGTGGCGTTTTCCTCTATCCACCTACCGGAGATGCACCACAGGGCAAGGTCGACCATTTTTTTGTGTTATTTACGACTGCCGCCGTTTTAATTATTTATGACTGCTTATCTTTTTCTCTTTTTGATTTTTCATTGTAACGTTACAGCTTCGTTACCTTTACGAATCTGCGCCAATGGCTTTCCTGGTTGAGCACGCTGGAGGAATCGCACACACGGGCAAGGTGAGCCAAACAACTGGCATATAAATCATATAATAAAAAAGTAAATTAATGAAGCCCTCCGCATCAACTATTTCTCGCCGGATTCGCCCAACTTGACTTTTTTCAAATTTCTGGAGAGGTTTAAGTCCAAACTTAACCTATAGAGTTATTAGTACAAGTATATCATATCAGTCCGTTTTGTATTGTTCTAGCGGGATCCATCGGTAGCGAGTAATTGCTTGTAGTTACTTTTATTTATTCGATGGTTCCCCTGAGCTACGTGAGCCCGATCCCACAGATACATACGTACGTGCTGATGGTCACTGAGCTACTTTTCCTAGTAAAAACAGCAACTGGTATGATTGATACTGATTTTCAGATACCTGTTCTTGACAACGTTCCCAAGGACATTCATGAACGAGGCACCATTTATTTAGGAAGCAAACTGGATATGGAAGAATTACTTTCATATTTCGAAAAATATAAAGATGAATAGTTTCTCTGTGATAGATTTGGTTCCATACTCGTTACTTTTTGTTACTAACTAATAGTTTCGTTTGGTTTTACATAGAACACAAATAAAATATATATTCATGTATTGAACTTTTTTGTTGGCAATAAAAACGCAAAAGGCCCATTGGTTACAGTGAAAAAATTCAGTTGAGGGAGAATAAGAAGAGAGATCAAGCAACAATTCTGAACATCGTCACCGTATTTGTACCTTCTACAGGGTCATTTGAGGTTCTCATGCCATCACAGAAAATTAATTTTATAATAAATATATTATGAGACATATGTATATCAAGTGCCATGTAATAATTAAATGACACTTCAACAATAATGTCAACAAATGATACAAAGCTTGATTCCGTTCTAATGGCGACCGGGCTGTCATTTTCAGTGATCTTATGCATCCACTATTAGAATCTGAACCTTCTGCCAACAGTGGTAACATTTATAAACCATGTAACGGGAGGATGTAGCCTTCTCTTAAAAGGACCAGTAAGACCCACATACATCCGTAAGCAGTATAACCAGTACAATTGCCTTTCCTTAATGGAGCGATCGTGAAATAAAACTCCGATTTTAAAGGCTTCATGGGATCAAGAGCTCATGAAGAGTTACGGTGAAGGGTAGCAGTTCCAATGGCCAGCTGCTGGAACAGAATTGACAACGGGAACCTCTTCGGCAAGTAAACGTAGCGAGGAGAAAGATTGTGGAAATTTACCTTCGATTTTACATTCTTTTCAAGAATTTTTTCATTATTACTTTGCCTAGTTTTTCAAAACTAGTGGAGATGCTTTTTAGTACATTCAGAATCTCCTGCCTGAGTTTCGGATTTCAAAAGCGTTTTTTTTATTCTCACTTCGGCGAACACCAAAAGAAAAAAATCGATGGCACTACGAGGAAAACAACGTCCTGGCTTCAGCGAGTCCCAGGCTTGTACTCCCCAAGACGTCCCCATATTAACGGCGTTCTGCATCACATCGTCGGTATCCAGGCGGATACCACTTAGACAATCAGTGACTTTCTTTGGTCGCCAAGTGAGCTATGCACTTTAATCTGAGAGCTCTCCATTTTTTACCTTACTTCGCTGTAAACTGCCCTCATAGTAAGTAAACGCCTGCTGTCTAGACCAAGATCTTGACGATTGTTCTTACACTATAGGCTTGTTGACTGTGTGATGCCATTTGGTCAGACAATTTTTAAAGTGTCGTACCTCCTACCTCCATCTTCCTCTAGCAAATCTTAAGAGTACTTTGCTCCCTCTTGAAGTTACTCAGAATTCCTGTATTCACTTAAAGTATGTGTTTACTTGTACGTCGTTTTAACCTGTTGTCCGCCCTGCTTAAGTGAATTCGCCTAATTTGCGGATTTTCTCGCTAATCGTCTTTGAAAGTATTTTGTGTTCATGTCGACGGACGGTCAGAAACTTTTTTCGTTACGGGTTTTGCCATCTCGCAGTTGAAACAGCTTTCAAAACAGAGATGTCCCTTTTTTTCTCAAGAGAGGTAGTTACTAGTTTCGTGAATGTAAGTAGGGATAAAAATGAGTTAACCATTCGGTTGCATGAGTGTCTTACGGTTGCGCCACGGACTCGGCACTGCCACAGCAATAACCTTATAGTAGTCTTTACTACTTTCCCATTGTTTTGTTCTTTGATACAGAAATTAAGAGAACGATCGATATTACTGATCGACGAGAGCTTCAACTGATCATTGATCAATATTTTTCGTTTTATATTATTCTCAAATCGTTCTCTGACATTGGATGCCAAATAAATGAATACTGTTTAGGCCGGAAATAAGCTGTTACAGGATGACGTTCATTGTTTTGTCAACAATCGATAACCATGAGAATGAATTAATGCATTCTTCGTTTTACTTGTAATGCCATGATGACCAAAGAACATTTCTATCCGGTCTACAGTAACAGTTACAGCCTACACAGCCTATGACAATAGCGTAGAAAGCAGCCACTGGGACCTCCCGATCGCTCCTCCCATTGACAAGAGATGCGACCATCAAAATCATACATGAAGTGGTGTGAACTGCACAACGGTCTCCATTTTGTATTTGTGATCCAATCAAATGTGTGCCATTAGGTCTGGCTTCTCTCAGACTAAAACTTGTAGCGTGCGCCGCGCGCTGCAATCAGGCGAATTTGTGCGATGACGCTATCTGACCTAAGGGTACATTCTCAGTCTGATATATTTCGCGCCAACGAACCATTCCAAGTTGAGCCATAGAAATACTTATTATTTGTTGAACTTCAAAGAGCTTTTAGTCAAGCCATAGCTCATGGAGGCAATCATGCATAGCGAAAGAAATCAGTGAATCATCTGAGAATCACGGTCTAATCACCATTTGGATCTTCTGTCAGAGCGATACAGTGCGTTACTTGGATCTGCCGACTAATCCTTTCCAACTGTTTTGACTATTGTTTTCCATTCACATTCATGAGAGATACTTGATAAGTGTTACTGGTACAAAAGTTATCAAGCTAACATGTAGGAGCCTTGGATAATATAGTTCACCCTTCTTTTCTCTCACTCCGATCTGCTTTACATTCACTTGCCTGAATCATCAGACATAGTTCGTGGGAAAAATCAGCTTGGACAACTCAGAGGCCAGGCTGCTGCAAAACCATCCCAACTGTCACTGGGGTGAATTCGTCATAAATGTTCCTCATTAAGCAGAAAAAAACCCTTTTGTAATATTACAGGATGCCCTTCTCTTGCAGTGGTAGGACAGAATCCGAGAGGATTGCATACTTTGGTTTGAGCGCTTGAGCTGAAAAAGATACTTAGTGATTGCTCCAAGTAGCGTTGATTTGTTTAAAACTCAAGGCTCGCACAAACTGGTGTCACGGAACTCGTGGAAAACCCTCGGAGAATTTTGGTCTACTGAGAAGGGCGTGTCGCCGAGGGCGTGGAAGGGCGGAGAAGGATTAAAAAGAGTGTAGGAAGAGGGCTCCTCTCAGCCATTTATGAAATGGCTCCCTTTTGCAAACTCTAGTGCTTTAATCCTGAAATATGGGTAATGAATTTTGTTTTTTTCACACCACGTCGATAGCATTAGACTTGTTCAAATTTGTCTCTTCTTGGGTGCGCTTCGTTCCACGCGTCTGTCGAAACTAGGTCACGCCGCAGACGTCGCAAGCGGTGCGTCAGCCCGCGATTCTTGATGGACGCCGCACTTGTCAGTTAGGCATACGGGAAGAGTCCAGCCACTTTAAAGAGAAGATAGCACGGACTAATTCAAATTACTCGCTCCACTGACACTCGTTGGTACTGTAATCTCATATCGGGATCGCAGTGGGCAGCACCGAAATGGGCGGGTTGAACTGGCTTTGACGGACGCGTGGAACGGGCGCCCTCCGTTTCTTCTAATCCTACTTTCGCCCCAGTGACACATTTGTCTATCACCATTATGCACCCATTCCTCAAATGTAGTTTTAATCAGAGAAAAAAGGTTACACTGTTAAAAAACCATAGAATATAACCATCGAAATCGAGCGCCATCTTTCGAGAAACCTTCCGTTCCTACTTGTGTATAGTTAAACGTTGGGAAAGAAGCACTAATGATCGCAATATTCATTGTCCTGAAAAATTCCAAGGCTAGGAGCATTCTATCATCATTATCGCCATTACTGCATTACTGGAATAGTGATTCACTCAAGAAAACAAAAGCAAATGTTATTGATTCCTAAGACATGATGAACGGCTGAATGAGCTGCCCATACGACTGGCTCAACACAACTTCGTCCCATTCAAGAGATGTGGTCGATTTGCAATCTCAAGAAGCATTCTAGGCATTCTCTCTTTGTTATTTGATGTCATAAGCGATCATCGATTGGTGCGCATACTATAAATAACGCCCTGCTTCCATGTCGCCCACATGACATTCCTTCACTTTCGTTTGCCCCGTTTCCTTCTTCCTCTTCCTATGTTTCTCCAAGCCGCGGTTACTCGGGAGATGGGCAGTTGAATTGGTTCTGTGTAATCGATTCGCCGCACGCGGCTGTCGCAGACTAGTTGTCTCGTTATTGCAGTTTTAGCGCTCTTCATACGGTTCGATCGATATGCGATTATTATTTCTAGCATGATTCTACTGTTACTTCTTCTGTTCCTGTATTCCTTACTTGCTGCGCTGCTTCCGCTTCATCTGTCGCTTGCCCAGAAGTGCTACATAAATTTGATCCATTTCATATGTAATCATGTATAGTGTCGTTTAGAATGTAAGATGCTAAAAATGAATTGTTCAATATATAAGAAGTGTAGCAGGCTCTACAGCGGACAAGATTAATAGCATTTTCGCATTTTCGGGAATTAATCATTCGCTTGCGTTTATTCTTCACAGCTGACTGCCGAGGCTACTCTTTCCACCCCAAGCCCATAATGTGTATTACGACATTTAAGATGCTTCGTAAGATTATTTTTCCTCTGTTACGAGGCCTAACACCTGGATCGATTTTTACCGTTTTATGTTACTTTCTCCTATCAAAGTTGACTCTCTCGTACCATATATCGAAATAATGGTTCATCACTTCAACGAAACTGATGCAAGTTCTCTGAACGTATCATTTCCAGACAGATCATGCCTGCTCCATCCGCTTATGGATTCGAGACAGACTCGATGACATTGCAGCGTTTTGTGCTGGCAGAACAGCGTAAACATCCACAAGCTTCAGGTGATCTCACCAATCTTCTCACTTCACTTCTAACTGCATTCAAGGTGAGCTTTTGAGCCAATGGAATTTGTTGGCAACCAGGTTTTGACTCCTCAACCACCCACTTTAGATACAGTTATCACTTTGGCTAAACCAGCTATATAGCTAGGTAATTATCAGTGTCCACAAAAGCAATTCCTCTGTACGTTCAGCGTATAAGATTTTTCACTGGCAAACTTAATATAAGTGGGTTACTATATTACCTAGCCCCTAGAAATACCCGATCAACAACTTGCCTATCCGTTCGTTTACACGAAGCATGCTATACTGTTCCATCATGTTCGGTTGGAAATGTCAAGGGATAGTGGTCAGTTTTAGGGATGGAATGAATTAAGAAGATGAGTTTATTAGCATGATAGGCTGACTGGTACAGAGGGAATAAGTGAGAAGGGAAGGTTGAGAAATAAAGTGCTCAAGTTAGAAGTGTCTAGATGGCTACGCACTAATACGGAACAGGCGCTGCGACGTCACTTTCCCTTCTTTTTTTCCGGACAATCATCCTATTTCTTTTGCTGGGTGCCCTCTTACTTGTCAGTATAGCCTACGATCCAAGTACTGTGTCCTGTGAACTATCCTGTAGTTTTCAAATTCGTATCATTCCACCACACTCAGTCGCTTTGTTCCTGCAGCCAGAAGAGAGGGTGGAGATTAAACAGTGCGGGCCTGCCATACATATCATTCCCTTTATAAGATCCTTCAGTTACTCTTTTCTGGGGTGCTCAGACAATCCATCTGAGTATTCTTTAGATTGCATCATTGAGCTTGAAATCCACCCCGTCGTAATATTGATTAGTTCCTTATTATCAGCAGTGTTCTCCTTTTGAGCTGCCGTTATCCATATCGACTTCTGGTATTTTGAGATTTCTTTGTTTGTACTTTAACGTCTTAGGCCATTTCAAGTGCTGTACGAAAGGCTGGTTTGGCTAATCTTTATGGCATCGCAGGCGATACCAACATCCAGGGCGAAGAGGTATGGTTTCTATATCCTTTTACCCCAGAAGAAGTCGGGAAATGGAATGATTTAATGGTGGTTTCAGGTTAAAAAACTGGATGTTCTCAGTAACGAGCTGATGATAAACATGATACGCTCATCATACAATTGTGGTGGAATGGTATCGGAAGAAAACGACAATGTCGGTACATTTTTCTTGGAGTTATTCGTACATCCAACCAGTGGTTACTCTTAATCAGTCCTGTGTTCACGCGCGAAGAGGGTTTATACAAGGAGTGTGTTTGCCTCTGCGATTCTCTAACGTCTCTCGACTCCCCTATGCACGCACTATTTCGCTTTAAGTTTCGGCGCCGCATGCTTGCCACTACTGACCACTGATGTTCAGCAAGTTTTTTTTTTTAACAAGTTGGGTTAGAAGATATAATAATGGATAAGGGTTCATTGTTTT